AAGAAAAACCAAGCACGCTTCCTAGAGAAAGGGAGGGACCCATTTATTAACACTAGTGACTAGTGAACTCTGGGAAGTAATTTCCAAATCAGAGAGTGAGTAACATACAGAGGCTTTGCTTTTTATAATCTATGGGGTCTTTGTCTTGCAGATATGGTTCCGCCCCCTTGTGGGCTTACAGGAAGGCCCCCAGGTGTTGGGGTTCCCAGGTCATATCAGATGATCTTCCTGGGGCCAACGATAATGACCTTCCCTGCCCCTCCCCCCCAGGGCAGTGCATTGTTCGGTTTTTATGGCCTTGCAAGACCAGTTTCCTCCTCAGTAGACTCCAGGGCTAACTGGAGCTTGTCATTAAAGTACTGAGCAGTGACCAGACTCTTCCCGAGGGCCCCCTGGTGAGGCCTACTGAGGCAGCGATACTCACCCCTAACATGACAGGGAGGAAGGCTGCCCGGCGAGTCCGGCGGCGGGAGGGAGGGAGCAGCCAGGCGAGCTCCGACTCTCCATATAAGGTTAGTTGGGGAACTACCGTGACGACGAAGCAAGGCCCGGGGTCAGAGGAGTTCATGCAGTTACTTAAGGTGCCATTACACCAAAAGAAGGTACCCGGACTGGCCTTGGTGGGGCTGGATGCAGTGTAGTTCTGGGTGCAGTTCCACGTGACTCGTCCTCCGATTACCGGATTACTGGTCTGGTAGCATATCCGTGGGGGCAGGGTGGGCTCTGGAGTTTCGGGTTTCCAAAGGGGAATGCCAGCCACGGGAGGCTGACATTCACCTTTCCCTTGGGTTCTTGGAGAAGTCGTGAGTGGGACAGCAGCCAGCAAAGATCTGTCAGGGTTTTGCTGGTCGTAAGCAAAACAGACATAGGGTCAGCCAGTATTGGACACTGACTGGATGTCGACAGCCATCTGGATCTTTGTCCGACATCGGAACAGAGGGCAATCCTGAGATCCTACCTGCCGGGTGACTTGTTTGCCGTTCTGGTAGTGGGTTTCACGGACCTTGAACATTTATAGAAGTCATGCCTCTCCGGGGTCCTCTTGAGTCCGGAGAGGTGGTGCCACGATAGGTCATCAAGCTGGGGTCGCCAAGCAGCTTGGCCACAGTGGGGGCTCTGAGGATTACAGTGTGA